AGAGAGAGAGAGAGAGAGAGAGAGAGAGAGAGAGAGAGAGAGAGAGAGAGAGAGAGAGAGAGAGAGAGAGAGAGAGAGAGATGTCTAGCGTTTAGTGACGGATTGGATTGGCATCTTCCACTTGGGCTGTCGCAGCAGCAGCGGTCAGGACATGGATTCTCGTATAACGCATGGGTGTTGGGGAGGGGAAAGGAAGTCCCTCTCAAGGCGGAGGTCTGGCGGGTGGTGTCGTGCTTCTTCTCAATATTTGGAAGGAAAGAGCAACTTGAAGGCTTCGTCCTGTGCTTGGGTGGGCCCAATTTCGACCAGCGCTCGACTGGCGCTGAAATCGGCAAAAAGAATTACGAATAGAAGTCAGAGTCAGTCTCGGAGGATGCTTTCATCATCTGACTCATCTGATAAGGATAAGGATAAGGATATTAAGGATATAATTAAGGATGTTAAGGATAAGGATATTAAGGATATAATTAAGGATGTTAAGGATAAGGATAAGGATAAGGATGTGAAGGATAAGGATAAGGATGTTAAGGATGTGAAGGATGTGAAGGATAAGGATAAGGATGTGAAGTATAAGGATAAGGATGTGAAGGATAAGGATAAGGATGTTAAGGATATTAAGGATATGAAGAATATTAAGGATATTATGGATAATAAGACAGCGATGACAGGCATAACAGAGTTGCCAGTCGAAATTCTGGGCCTGGTGCTTGGTCGAGTCGGGATCCCAGCGCAGGTCGGAAAGTCGGCGACCGTCTGCTCGTTGTTCGCGAATGCGGCGCGCTGCCATCTGACGTGGCAATCGCTCTTACACCCTGCATTTTACAAAATTTTCGAACCCCATCACTTAGCTCTAAGGGAGAGAGAGGGAGGGGGGGAGAGAGGGGGAGGGGGAGAGAGAGAGGGAGGGGGAGAGAGAGAGGAAGAAAGTGCGGAAGCCGTGATCGACGCTAAGGAACGTGTCAGTCTTTCTCGCCGAAGCAACAGGATGTCTTATCGGTGCGAGAGAGAGGAAGAGGAGGAAGAGAGAGAGGAGGAGGAGCAGGGAGAAAGAGAGACCGAGGAGGCAGAGAGAGCGGAGGAGGAGGAGGAGGGGCGGGGGAACCGAGGAGAGGATCCACAAGATTGCCAAGTACACCCCCTAGTTAGTTCTTGTACAACCAGGAGCAGCAGCAGCAGCAGCAAGAGCAGCGACACCGTGACGATGCACTCCAATCAACGGCCAAGGGAAGGAGAGAGAGAGGGAGAGAGAGAGGCAGAGAGAGAGCGAGAAAGAGAGGGAGAGAGTGGGGGAGATGCAGATGGAGGAGGAGGCTTGATCGGCGTTCAGAGCGATGGAGTGCTTATGACCTCCAGCCGCCGTCTTCGCCGCCGTTGCAGCAGGACTGATCAACAACTTGGAGAGCGGAGTCCAATGCGAGCGAGAGCGGGAGATAGGAGGAAGGAGGGAGGTGTTCTCCACGGCCATGAAGTTGGCAGCAGAGCCAGCACCAGCAACAGCACCACCACCACCACCACGACCACCAGCAGTGGCAGTATGACCTGTTATCGTCGGCTAAGAGAGGGATTCTTCGATCAGGAAAATAGATACATCCACTACAAACTCGACACGTGGACAGGTTCCATATCAGCGAGCTTCTCAGCTATGGCGATGGATATTGGCAGGGAGTCCCCGCCGGTCTGGAGCCGCCTTTCGACAAGCGGCAGTGTTTTCGAGGGGGCTGTCAAGATTAGATGGAGGGCCGTGGTGAACGGACACGTGTCATGCGCTCTGCCAGCTGGCAGGTATAGCTGCTCGTGGAGATTATGTGTGGCACCCCTTCATATGGGCCCAAAGTCTGGACTGGGCCTCCGATCCCTGCACCTGGACCGAAGTACCCGTGTGATTCATTATCGGAGTAGAGTGGAAGTTGGATCGGCGCCGGGACTGGATTCTGCTGGTGCACCTTGGCCCCGACCTGACCCCAAATCCAAATCTAGGCCTGGATCCCAACCAGGGCCTGCATCCCAACCTGCACCTGGAGCCGAGCTTGGTGCACCTGGAGCCGAACTTGGGCCTGAGTCCGAACGTGCACCTGGACCCGAACCTGGGCCTGAATCCGAACCTGCACCTGGAGCCGAACTCGGTCCTGAATCCGAACCTGGGCCTGGATCTGACCCTCCATCTGGACTACATTCCGTAATAGGAATGGTCGTTGAGCATTCGCCAATTGTCAACGGCAGTCTTCCAGTATATCCGTTTTGGACTGAGCGAGAAGCAGGGACCATACACGTGGCTCGCTCCCATGCCGTTGATCGTGATGAGCGGCACAGATCTAACGGGCAAGGATTGCTACCAACAGCGATTCGATTGCGCTTAGAGATTACTGTTCCTGAGGAACTCATCATTGACAGCTTCGTCCTTCGCTCTGTAACAGGGTGATAAAAAGGAAAGAAAAAGAAAGGAAAGGAAGGAAGAAAACGGGAAAAGAAACAAGGAAAGAATAGTTATGGGGAAGAGACGGAGAGGTGCAGATGCAGGGGAGCCACAGAGGCAGAGGAGAAGAGGAAGAATGACATCCGTCTGTCTCTGTCTCTCAGTCCGTGTCTCAGTCCCTGTCTCAGTCCCTGTCTCAGTCCCAGTCTCACACGGTGTCTTTGTCTTTCTGTCCTTCCCCCTACATTCTCCGACTCTAAGCGTTGTATATACCAAGGTAATCACTCTCTCTCTCTCTCTCTCTCTCTCTCTCTCTCTCTCTCTCTCTCTCTCTCTCTCTCTCTCTCTCTCTCTCTCTCTCTNTCTCTCTCTCTCTCTCTCTCTCTCTCTCTCTCTCTCTCTCTCTCTCTCTCTCTCTCTCTCTCTCTCTCTCTCTCTCTGTGTCTCTGTGTGTGTGTCTGTGTGATGAATTGTCACCAAAACAGCCCCTTTTCCGCCCAGATGAGTAGATCCAAATTTGGTACAAGCTGCTTGACCATAATTCCTTCTACACGTCAACTGCCACCATAACAGCTTTTTCTTTTCTTTTCTTCTTCTTCTTTTTTTTTTTTTTTTTTTTTTTTTTCAACAGCTCCTTTTCAATACGTCCAGGAAACAAACTTTTGACCATAGAATCTTCTACAGCAAACATCATAAAGCTCACAAAACTGTGACATTCCCGTCTTTGCGGTTAACTTGCCTTTTAGTAGAGCAACTCTGTCTTCGCTATCCTTGCTCTTATATCTATCTATCTATCTATCTATCTATCTATCTATCTATCTATACATATATTATCCCTCGTTTGTTGCCCCATTCTCCCTCTCTGACAACAGTTTTGCGGGCAGTTGTGTTTGTCCTGATGAGAATGATGTGTCTACTCTTTGTCTGTCTTGCACACATCATTCATACGGGTCGTACCTAAGTTCTTACAGGTGACTGTCGTGAATACGGGGAAGGCATATTCTTACCCCATCAGTAATGGTGGAAGGTCGAGGCTCCTACGGTTCCGTTGTTCGCCGATGAAAGTGGTAACTCATGCTGAGGGAGACAAGTAGTCTCTGATCTTATTACATCACAATATGCGGGACAGTTTCTATTTATTGAATGAAATTCAATAAACACTAGAAGACCTGCTGCGGCTTCGCTTGCAAAGGAAAAGAAGTGGCATGGCATTAAGAGGGGTGTGGTCAGAGGCCGAGGGAGGCCAACCCCAACCGGAAGTGGTCCGGTCAAACCGGGCGGTCATCCGACCCAGTTCCCCCCCTGGTTGGTCCAGCGCATCGCACTGGGGGCGGGGGGGTTCCGGGTTTTTTCGCCGTCAGGGGCCTCGTGGAGGGCTGCAGACGCCAAGTGGCCCCCCAAAAAAGCCTACCGGGTCCGGTAGGACCGCCATTAACGTTTGAAAAGCCAGCCGATCTGGACCACCGATCTGGACCACCGATCTCGGGAGATTGGCGGCCGAGATACGCCATCCTTTTGAAACGGTAAGGGCAGGAATTACGGGACCCAGTAGGCATTTTTTGGCATTGCTTAGAAATAGAAGAATACTAACAATAGAATAAAATCAATAAAATGATTAATTCAGTGATTTAATTTAATTATTAGCACGGTTTATCATGTCTGCCCAAGTATTGATAACACGGCCTTGACTATCAACTACAGACTGATTGAAATTGAAACTATTCAGGTTAAAGGCCATGGTACTAATTCCTAAAGCAGTAAACCAAACGCCTACACCACAAAAGTTTGATTTTAATAAGGAAGAATAATCAATAGAAAGAAATCCTTGATTGAATTTTCCATTCGATGCAAATCATTCATAAATAGTTTATTGAACTATCTTATTTCTCATATCTTTTTAGACAGTGAAATTAAAAAAAAATCTATAAAAAAAAAAAAAATCCTTGTTCTCAAACTGGTTCCTTGTTTTTCTTTAGGCCTGCTGGTGTCCTACTCTTTGAATTCTTACCTGGCCTCGTCGTTATCCTTTTTAGCAGAATCAAAAGAAGAAAAAAGATTAAGAGGCCATTTGTTGATATCCTGGTATCTTAGGCATAGTGGAACAACACCAATCCATCCTGAACTTGGTGGTGAACATGCATTTGGACTCTTCTTCATCCTTGTACATGCATGTATAAGGTTGCGTAGTGGAGTTAAGCTCCCCATTCCCTCCCCTACATTTGCCCTTCTGCTGCCCCCGACCTGCCACCCATTCATGGAGTACAATGTCGCCAGTTCATGAGCCCCCTCGTCGTCACGCCTTCGCTTTTTGGAGCCCGTTGCTGCACGCCATCACCTGGAGCCTGTCGTCGCGCCTTCATGTCGCGCGCCATCGCCTCCATGCCCGCGAGCCACCGGTCAGTAGCTAGTTAGTTCTTCTTCTTCTTCTTCTTCTTCTTCTTCTTCTTCTTCTTCTTCTTCTTCTTCTTCTTCTTCTTTCTCTTCTTCTTCTTCTTCTGATTCTGTGTG